AAAAAAAAAAAAAAAAAAGAGAAGATGAATTGTGTGACCATTATGGCTTCTTCCAGCCCTAATGTTTTATTATTATTGTTATTAATAGTTATTTACTTATTTAGAATCAGAGTCTCACTCTGTCACTCAGGCTGGAGTACAGTGGCACACTCATGGCCACTACAGCCTTGAGTTGCTGGGTAATCCTTCTGCCTCAGCCTTCCAGGTAACTGGAACTACAGGTGCACGCCAACACGCCCAGCTAATTTTTTAATTTATTTTAGAGATGAGATCTTGCCAAGTTGTCCAGGCTGGTCTCAAACCCCTGGACTCAGGCAATCCTCTCGCCTTGGCCTCCCAAAGTGCTGGGATTACAGGCTTGAGTCACTGTGCCTGGCCATATTTATATTTATTTATTTATTTATTTTTAAATTAGAGTCTCATTCTGTCGCCCAGGCTGGAGTGCAGTGGCATGATCACGGCTACCATACTGGGCTCAGGAGATGCTTCCACTTCTGACTTCCAAGTAGTTGGAACTACAGGCATGCGCCACCAGCTAATTTTTTTGATTTATTGTGAAGAAGAGGTCTCGCCATGTTGCCCAGGCTGGTCTTGAATCCTTGGCTCAACAATCCTCTTGCCTCAGTCTCCCAAAGTGCTGGGATTACGGGTGTGAGCCACCACACCTGTTTTATGATTCTATGTATGGAAGAGACAGAATGTTGCTGGGAGCATTTCGCATAGCAGGTTGGGGTGAAGCCTGGAAATCTCTATTTTAAAAAATTTCCCAGATGATTGCAATACACACTGTCCTTTGGGACTTGTGCACATGGTCATCATATTCTATAACAAATTGTGATTACCTACAGAAAAATTATCTCCTTCCCTCATCTCCAGCATTCAACATTGTTGACAACAGCAATTAAGGTATGATCAGAGAATATAAACTCTCGTTAATATTGTTCTAAATAAAGCCGTGCTCGGTGGCTCAGCCTGTAATCCCGCGCCTTTGGGAGGCTGAGGTGAGTGGACTGCCTGAGCCTGCGGGTTCGAGACCTGCCTGGGCAACTTGGCAAGACCTTATCTCTACAATAAATTAAAAAAAAAAAAAATTAGCCGGGCATGGTAGCGTGCGCCTGTGGTTCCAGCTACTTGGAAGGCTGAGGCGGAAGGATCGCCGGAGCCCAGCAGGTCAAGGCTGCGGTGGCCGGAAGCGGCCACTGCACTCCAGTTTGGGCGACAGAGTGAGACTCCAACTCAAAAAAAAAAAAGAATCCACC